GAACCTCCAACCTTTCGGTTAGCAGCCAAGCACATTAACCATTTGCACCACCAGTGATCCTGAATTCCCCTATTTCCAGTGAAGTTCTTATCGTGTCCCCTGTTAATTGCATGATTACTTGTTCACCATTGTACCCTCAGTGTCTGGTCTAATCTGTGACATGTAGTAGGCATTCAATAAATATTTGTTGAATGGCAAAATAAATTACAGGGTAGAGTGGGTAAAAGTTGTTATTGTACATTATCAAAAAAATCTAGCTATAAAAGAACCTGTGTGCTTCCCATCTGTGGGAAGGACCCCAAAGTTTACTGTTCATGAAAATGTGGTTTTAACAGTGTTCGGAATAGTTCTTAGTTACCAGAATATTTTGTATACCTGAGTTTCACAAGTCCTTTGAAAGTTGGTTAAATTATTTTGTTTCTGTTGCTGGAAGAAATATAAGAGATAAATAATTTGTGTAGAAGTGATTTCAGTCTGGTATTTAGGATTCTCTAAACGGAAAATGGAGCCCTGGTGTTACAATGGTTAAGGGCTCCATTGCTAATGAAAAGACTGGCAGTTCAAATTCACTGGCTGGAAACCCTATGAGGCAGTTCTGCTCTGTCCTGTAGGGTTGCTATGAGTTGGAATCGACTCCACGGCAATGGGTTTTGAAACTGAAAATAACAAATTTATGCTCCCCTCTCTTCACCACATAGTTATTTATTGTACAAAGAACATTATTCCGTCAGTAATGGGAAGGGAACAAAGTCCCTTACGATTCCTGGCACTCTGTTTTCCTGGTACTCTTAACATATCAGGTATTCTGGTTTTTCCATATAATCTTTTCAGGCCTTACTCATATGTGTATACACTTATAAAATTATCTATAATGATATTCTGAATTTATTTTCATTTCACATATCAAATTTTTTTCCATTTTGCTTAATTTTCAGTGGCTTTTTAGTAGTTCATTAAGTTGATGTGTCACAATTAGGTAGAGGCTTAATTGTTTCCAGTGTTTTGTTATTTTGAGCAATGCTATTATAAACAGTGCCTGAGCTTTTTCCTTTTGAATTAATTCCTTAGGGTGAATTTCTACGGCTGGCACTTCTGGCCTGAGGACGGCATAGTGTGTAGTGGATGAGAGCCTGGTTTGGTTTGCTCATGTTACTTGGATGGTAGCAAAACAGTATTAGGATCATAAAATATAATATCTGTATAGCCATTGGAATTTGGAGAAATAAAACTGCTATAAACCCACTCCTC